ACTTTAAGTAAGTGCAAATGGTTTTAGACTGATTCCGACAGTTGTTAGTAATGTTATACTTTAATAATTTCAAAATCATAGCTTTGAAGAGTTTAATGATGTTGTAGTCTCTTCTAGTGAGATTTTTTGTAGAGTTAGTGAGATTTGTAGGAAGTTAAGTGCAAATGGTTCTTAGATTGATTCCGACAGTTGTTTGTTATTAATGTTATTATGTAGTAATTTCGAAATCATAGCTTTGAGAATTTAATGATGTTGTAGTGTTTGGTTTACAAAGCTCGTTAATCGTTTTAGATTGTGTGATTATGTTCTGCTAGATTCTTTGTAAAATCAGTGCGATTTGTAGTGTAATGGTTCTTAGATTGTGATTCCGACAGTTTTATCTCATGTTGAGTTGTTACTGTAGTAATCATGGTTTTGAATGATGTTGTAGTGTATTGTATAAGCTCACTTTGAGACTGAATGATTTTTTTTTTTTTGTATATCTAAAATGTTGTAATGTGTACTTCTTGAAACATGACAGATTGCTTCAGAGGGTTTGAAGCACAGGGTTTTCGAGGTTTCTCTTGCTGATCTTCAAGGTGATGAGGACCACTCTTACAGGAAGATCCGTCTCAGAGCTGAAGATGTACAGGGCAGGAATGTCTTGACCCAGTTCTGGGTAACGACACATGATTTTTAAACATTGATTTCGAACACTGTCTCATGTTTTTTCCTGAGTTCTTACTCTTTCTTTTTTTTCATCTCTAGGGTATGGACTTCACAACCGACAAACTCAGGTCATTGGTTAAGAAGTGGCAGACTTTGATTGAGTCTCATGTTGATGTGAAAACCACTGACAACTTCACACTAAGGCTTTTCTGCATTGCCTTCACCAAGAGACGTGCTAACCAAGTCAAGAGAACTTGCTATGCTCAATCAAGCCAAATCCGTCAGGTATATTATACACATTGAAACACTTCTTTAGTTTTGCTATCTTTTGATCTTGAGCTAATAGTTTTACTTTTTTGTGTGCATTCCTCAGATTCGCAGCAAGATGAGGGAGATTATGATCAAGGAAGCTTCGTCTTGTGACCTAAAGGAGCTTGTTGCCAAGTTTATCCCCGAAGCTATTGGGAAAGAGATTGAGAAGGCAACTCAGGGAATCTACCCTCTTCAGAATGTTTTCATCCGTAAAGTCAAGATCCTCAAGGCTCCCAAATTCGACCTCGGAAAGCTCATGGAGGTGAATCGATATACTACCCTTACAACTTTTCTTGTTCTAATTTTTATATGATTCATTATCAATGATTGTCTTAAACGAATGCTTTTGTTTGTAAATCTCTGTAGGTTCACGGAGACTACACTGCTGAGGATGTTGGTGTGAAGGTAGACAGGCCTGCCGATGAGGCTGCTGTTGAGGAACCTACTGAGATCATTGGAGCTTAAGAGATGTTTCCGAATAAATGTTAAGATTGAGAGATCTTTTTTTTCTTCTAAACCTTTAGTTTTCTTTAATGCTTCGTGTCTTTTCACACTCGTTTTGGACCATCAACTTGTTCTATTTTTGTTGTAAACTTGTGAGTTTTTGGATAATTCATGGCTACATCTTGTTCTCAGAGACATGTCTCTATTCTCCTTCTGCAGCCAACGCTTCTTATAGACAGGTTCATCTGATTTGGAGTCATCATCATCTCTATACCAATGTTTATTTTACAAGATCAACTTTAGTTAGACAAATAAACCTCTTTAAGTTCTAATCAAGTCGTAGACGTAGGGTAGGGTCCAGATAGCATGGTATAGAAAACTGATGGCCATGGCATTATTATTATTAATACAGAGCTAGACAGAAAGGCAAACATGTGATGATACCACAAACACCCAAAAGAAACTTTGTTCAGGCAATAGGTAGCAATTGTAAAAGGACACATCTATGTCTATCTCTTTTCTCACTAAACTTTTCAAGATTCCCCACAGACAAAAAGAGCCAAAAAGAGGCAGAGATCTGATCAAAGCCAAACGGCAAGCTGTTTCAAAGGCTTTCTCTAAAACTGCACACAGTTTTTGGTAAGACTGCCCCCACCCATTGAGATATGCAAATCTAAAAGTTTGAATTGACAGTATAAAGAGACTTAAAGACTAAAGTAACTTGGCTTGTTCTAAAAGATATTTCTCTTGACTTGACAATCCAAGACAACTTTGATGTTCTTTCAAGCAAGAGTGCAAAGCTGTATGTACGCTTTTTTTGTGGTGGATATACAATCATAAGACTATGCAAAAGACTCATGTCACGGGTCAATGTTACAATAAACAGTTCCAATGTCAGTTTTTAAAACAACATTTCGACAAAGACAAGAATCCATTTCAAGTGGTTTAATGTTACTCACTGTACTTAAAAGTATTTTTTTAAAACAAACTCAATAATCCAAACATTATTCAGACATTTTCTTTAGGAACATGAAACCACTATGAAGAGTTTTGGTTTTGTTGAACCAAGTGAACATATACAAACAAGATGATGGACATTAAACTCTGAAACTTTTCAGCAGGCTTTGATTGATGTCTAGAGAAGCGTCCAAAATAAGGGAAAATAATTGAAATGTGAAAACATTAAGAACCCTTGACTTGCTGCTGATTCACAATCTTCAGGAATCTTCAAGTACAAACCCCATGTCTCTCATAGAGTCCTTGATAATGACATTGGACTTTGTTAAGTTCTCTATAGAATGTCTTTAAGGAAGATCAAAGGCTTAAGACAATCAAATCTAAAACTGCTCCACTGTATAGGCTTAGAAACAATGTACATACCATGACATATGAAACTGATATATACCAAGATCAAGTTGATATTATGAAACTGATCATATGATAAAATAAATTGACAAGAATCAACAGTTCTTTTTTAAATCTTTTATTAGCACTCAAAAGAAAGAAAAAGAACTCTCAAAACTTCTTCTTATCTACTCGTTCTTCCAAGCGTACAGAACCAATGAGAACCCTAAACTTTGAGATTTAGAGCTCGTTGGGACCTGTGCTAACGACCAAGTCTTTTCAACAGGTTGACAAGTCCTGAACATAAACACAGCATGTCCTGTTGATGATGGAAGACCAAAGAACCAACTATGAACATCCCAAAGAACTTCCACAGAGATCCTATCAACAACCATTGTATCATTACCACGGAACTTCCAATGAAGCCGCTTCACCTGCAACAACGTCTTCCCATCAACACGAACAATAAGGCAAGGATCAGATACACTCGTGTCACATTCTATCACAAGGTCATGTGTTTTGTCATCACCAGAGAACTGAGCCTTTGTTTCAAACGTTCTCTTACCAAACACATGTTCTTTCTTAGCCACAATCACAGCACCAAGAGATGAAGAAGGTGCAGCGTTTGTCTTTTTGAAAGCTTCTTTCCTCATATCGCCAAGAAGAAGAGTCATCTCTTTATCCACAACAACGCACACATAGAACCCTCCTAAAGGCTCAGAGCTGGATCCAAATTTAGCAGAGGAGAGATCCCAAAAGACATCAATATTACAAGAATAAGCCTCAAGATTCTTGGACCCTTTTCGTTTAGTGAAGAGCCAGGGCTTGATCTCTACTTTACAGAGACTTCTGTTGCAAGAATCGTCCACTCCGATGGTTACACACTGACCCATTAGATTCTTGGTCCATGTGACTGTGATCAAACAAGTCTTGCCTCTGATGCGGCAACGGTAGACACAAATGACAAGATTCTGAGCTGTTTTTCCTGCGTTGGAGGATGGGGAATTTGCTATCTGAACGCCATTTTCACCGGAGCAAGAAGGAAAGTCTCTCATTGTCTTCTCTCTGGAACTTCAAGGGGGAATTGTGAGATGAATAGTTTTAGCAGGACGTGATGAGTTTCATGAAAGAAAGAGAGAAACACCAATCTCAAAAATGCATAGGAATGAGGAAAAAGTAAAAGAGAATTGAGATGGGTTTTTTTTATCAAATGGATCCAGTTTCTCCGAGGAAGTTCATCGAACAAAGGAGGAATTAAAGAGAAAGCCTGAGACTTCGGGAGGGAGAGAGAGAGAATGAATGTGGGATTATATTACCAGAGTCAATCAGACAGTAACAGACAAAAAGAAGACTTTGTGTTTCACTGTCGATTCATTTTTCTTCAGGTTAAATAATTACCCAACTTTTTTTTCTTTTTGAAATTTAATAACTACCGAATTTGTTTATATACTAGTAAATAGTAAATACTAAAAGTCTAAAATGAATTAATTCCGCGGGAAAAGACGGTAAGAAAAGAAAAACTGGGACAAAAACTTATCTGGTTATGCATATGAGATTTTTAGAGGTTAAGAATAATATAATTAAAATTTTAAAAAACTCTTATTTTTAATAAGTTAGAACTTATAGTTTATATATATGAACTCTTCAAAATTTCGAGATACAAAGTGAATATTTCATTTGATTTTGTCCAGATTTACTGATCTAGTCATATAACGTTTTCTTTGTCATTGGAATTCTCTCTAATGTTTGTTTATTTATATATTTAGTTAAAACGTTCATCCAAATTAACAAAATTATTTGACTTGTATTTGAAGCCACTTGTGTGCACGTATATAATCAGATTTAAATATCAAGCAGATATTCCAATAGAAAAAATTATTTTTTAATAAAATACTATTTTTACGTTTGTAATTTTTTTAATTTGACTTGATTAATGTCAACTGAAAGTAGGTTTGCAGTTACATTACACTACACGTGTGAGGTTCCATGACTAGGTATCATGCATTTATTACCCAAACTGAGCCCATACTTGTCTGCTCTATTGGGCTTATACTCTCTTAAGGCTTTTACTAGTCACACTTTTTAGGTATTAGTCAAAAAGTTTAAACAAGTAGTTGACGTGTACATTTACCCCAATAGCTGGTTTTGTATTGCCTATTTCCGGTATTATTACAATTAGTCGGTTTGATTATTTAAAAAAAAAAAAAAAAAGTTTTATCTCACTGGTCACAGTTAGGCCACAGAGTCTCTATGCGAGAGAGAGAGAAGGAAAGCACTTATCATATCATCATCACAAACCAAACCAGTTTCTTCATCTTTCGTCACTTCCTTTCCTTCTTTCTTCTTTTTATTTAAGCTTTAACCGAATAAAAATTATCCTCTCGTCTGAGAGTTGATTCTCTATGGCTTCTTCGATTGTTTTTGCTGCAACTCCAGCTACTGCGTTTCTCTCCTCTGTTACTCCTTGGAAGTCTCGGAGATTTCTTGTTCGGTCTTCTCTCGACGCTGATGTTTCCGACATGAGTGTTAACGGTAATAACCAAACAATAAAAATTGAACCTTTACTGTCTCCTCTGTAGTAAGTTGGATCCTTTTGATGTTTAAGATTATTGGTAGTTGAATTTGAGTACTTTTTTTCTTGAAACTCTTGTGGCTTCTTTATATGCCCAAGTAAAATTCATTAGTATTGTAATTGGAGAGTTGGGTCAAGGTTATACAGTCATCTTGTGTTTGTATGGTTGATTCTTTTTGCGTTAGTTTAGTTTATTCATGGGAAGCAGTAGCCTCGGTTGAGGAAGCCAATGACATCTCAGAACTCACTGAAAATCAAGTTTTGGATTTGAACAGTCTTCTTTGTGCGGTTATGTTAGGGGGGTATCAGTCTTTATCTTACAAGTTTAAACGTACTGGTTATTAAATGCAGCTCCAAAGGGGCTATTTCCTCCAGAGCCTGTACCATACAAGGGACCGAAGCTGAAAGTAGCTATCATTGGAGCTGGACTTGCTGGCATGTCAACTGCTGTTGAGCTTCTCGATCAGGGTCACGAGGTGTTGTAATTGTTGTTTTTCGTGTTAGGTTTGTTTTGGTTACATAAATGTGTTTATCTCTTTGTGATTGTTTCAGGTGGATATATATGATTCAAGGACCTTTATTGGTGGCAAAGTGGGTTCTTTTGTAGATAAACGCGGGAACCACATTGAAATGGGTTTACATGTTTTCTTCGGATGCTACAATAATCTCTTCCGCTTGATGAAAAAGGTGTTCTGTTTCACCAAATGAGTTTGCTTGATGAATGAAGCTCAATACTCATCTATGAAGTTTTCTTTTGTGATGTGTAGGTGGGAGCTGATAAGAACCTTCTTGTCAAAGACCACACTCATACATTTATTAACAAAGGCAGCGAAATTGGAGGTTTGTCTCAGCTCATTGCTCTTCTCTTACTTTGCTCTCCTCTGTAATTTCAGCCTACTGAGATGTGCTTAAAAAATTGTAGAGCTTGATTTTCGGTTTCCTGTTGGAGCTCCAATTCACGGTATCCGCGCCTTTTTAGTCACAAACCAACTCAAGGTATAAGTTATACACTTCTCAACTCGTTTTATTCACTGTTGGACTTAGCAGATACATATCTCTATAGGCACCGAACTCTTTGAACCTTTTTCACAAATCTTGTATCAATCTCAAGCTGACTATTGGATTACTCTTGTTTTTTGGCCAAACAGCCCTATGACAAGCTGAGGAACTCACTAGCTCTTGCATTAAGCCCTGTCGTTAAAGCTCTCGTTAACCCTGATGGAGCAATGCAAGACATTCGCAATCTGGACAGTGTAAAACAATGATATATATAGCCTCGATTGTTTCTCATTTCTACTACTATTTTATTTCTCTAAATGTTCTGAGATACACTTTTTGCAGATAAGTTTCTCGGATTGGTTCCTCTCTAAAGGTGGGACAAGGGCGAGTATCCAGAGAATGTGGGATCCTGTTGCTTATGCACTCGGTTTCATAGACTGTGATAACATGAGTGCAAGATGCATGCTTACAATATTCTCATTATTCGCCACCAAAACAGAAGCTTCTTTGTTGCGTATGCTCAAAGGATCCCCTGATACTTACTTGAGTGGTCCTATCAAACAATACATCACAGATAGAGGTGGCAGGTATGTGTGTGTGTGTTATTATCTATAACAACGGATTCATCTCATAAGCTTATCATGTATTTATATCTTGTCTTAAAAAAACAGAATCCATCTAAGGTGGGGTTGCAGAGAGATACTTTATGATAAATCAGAAGATGGAGAAACTTATGTCACGGGACTAGCAGTTTCTAAGGTGAAACTTTGCTCCTGGCATCGGATATTAACAGTCTGCGAAGATGTCTGAATACAAGCTTTTTGTTTACTTTCAGGCTACGGACAAGAAGGTTGTGAAAGCTGATGTGTATGTTGCAGCATGTGATGTGCCTGGAATCAAAAGGTTACTACCCAAAGAATGGCGAGAATCTCGTTTCTTCAACGATATATACGAACTCGAAGGAGTACCTGTTTGTACGGTGCAGCTCAGATACAATGGTTGGGTCACTGAGATGCAAGACATTGAACTTGCCAGGTTCCATTCTTCAAAAGTCTTTCATGTACTTGATTGATTCTTGAAGGTTTTTTAACTTACCAGAAGAGTCTGTGTCTTTTGTGTTAATAGGCAGTTGAAACGAGCGGTTGGTTTAGATAACCTTCTCTACACACCTGATGCTGATTTCTCCTGTTTTGCGGATCTTGCTCTCGCTTCACCTGCAGATTATTACATTGAAGGACAAGGCTCTCTGCTTCAGTAAGAAACACTAAAAATAGTTATGGTTTCTTGAACCTGAATTAACTCTGTTTTTTACAGGTGCGTTTTAACACCAGGAGATCCGTACATGAGATTACCCAACGATAAGATCATAGAGAAAGTAGCAAAGCAGGTATATCCTCAAAACTCATGAGAACAACTTGTGCCAAAATTGGATGTTTGTTGATTTCTCAAATCTTTGTTGTTCAGGTCACTGAGCTGTTTCCATCATCACGGGGTCTAGAAATCACATGGTCATCAGTTGTCAAAATAGCTCAGTCTCTGTACCGTGAAGCACCAGGCAAAGATCCATTCAGACCTGATCAGAAAACTCCCGTGAAAAACTTCTTCCTCGCTGGTTCATACACAAAACAGGTAACTCTTTTTACACTTAAACAAACTGTTCAGACAGATCCAACACAAAGTCAATAAATTCTGTTTTTCTAAACAACTTGCAGGATTACATAGATAGTATGGAAGGAGCAACATTGTCAGGAAGACAAGCTTCTTCATACATCTGTGACGCTGGTGAAGAACTAGCTAAGCTAAACAAGAAGCTTTCTTCTTCTACAGTTTCTGATGAGCTAAGTCTCGTCTAATGATTGAAGAAACATGTGTAGTAAACTCTTATAGTGTTCACAAGAGAAAGACATTTGTATTATTTATCACACAACACTCTCTTCAACTCAAAGATTCTTACTTTATAACATCCAAAGAACACAAAGAGAAGCAACACTCACAAAAGGAACAAACTTTCTTCAGCTTCAAGAAGCTTCTTCTTCAACAGCTTTCTTCGCAGTCTCAAGATCTTCGTCAAGAAAAATATCCCAATGACCATCCCAAGTGATGAAGAACTCAGTATCTTCATGATACTTAACTCTATGAACATCACCAGCAGGAGTAAACAAGTAATCTCCTTCAACAAGATCAACTCTCTCCTTCTTACTCAAATTCCACACACTCTTCTTCCCTCTAATCACCACAAGATCATGACCAAACGTATGGTGATGCGCCGGCTCCACACTCCCCGCTTTAAATCTCACTATCGCCGACGTCGGCGTCTCCCTCACTATCTTCATCTCCCCTCCAGGCATTATCTCCACCGGAGTGAACTCTCTGTCCCTCGCCAAGCAGCAAATCGCACAAGACGCCGCCGATTCCTCATCTCTCTCTTTAGCTATTGAAACAGTGATTGATTTTTTTCCGATCCGACTCATCTCGGAGAGGGAGTTATCGAGGAATGAGGAGATCTCGGAGCTCCACGGCTCCGATCCAGACGCAGGACAAGGAGATTTGAACGGAGTTTTGATCCACGCGTCGAAGATCTCAACGGCCTTCTCCGGAGAGGTTTTGGCTCCGGAGAGGGCGAGGACGTTGCAGTCGCTGATCGATCTAGCGTTCACGGCGTCTTCGACGGTGAGACACGTGGCGGCGTAGACTCCGGGGAACTTGTTGGCGAACATCGCGACTCCGACGCCGGTGCCGCAGCAGACTAAGCCGCGGGTTCCGGAGGATGAAGAGGAGGAGACGCGGCGGCCGACTTCGGATCCGGCGGAGTAGTAGGAGGAGACGCCGGTGTCCTCCACCGGTATGCCGAGGGAGCGGAGGTGGGAGACCATCGCGTCCTTGAGACTTGCTCCGAACGCATCGGCTCCGGTTATGATTTTCAACGGTGGTGGATCGGCGGTGGAAGTGGGTTCGGCCATATCTCTCTGACAGAGCTTTGTCAGTTACTAAGTGAGAGTGACTAGAAGATTCAAGAGTGTCCTCTTAAAAGCTGAAAATTTGAAATAGAGAGACACGCATTTTATGATAATCCATTACCTCCCCTTAATTTATTTTAATTACATAAAAGGCCCTCAAATTGTAGTGAGCTAGTAGGGGTGAGCACTTTTGCCCGATATCCGAACTCGTACCCGAATCCGATCTGAAATATTCAAACCAAAATTCGAAACGAAGTATCAAAATACCCAAACGAAGTATCAAAATACCCAAACGAATTATTAAATTAGGAGATATTGGTTATCCGAACCCGAACGAATAATACCCAAATCCAAACAGATAATATCCACCTGAATGGATTTTCGAAGATAACCAAAGATATGTATATATATATATATATATATATATTTTTATTCCAAGTATATTTATTTTATTTTATTCAAAATATTTTTATTAATAATGTATATAGCTTAAGATCATATAATTATATTTTTAGCAGTTTATTTTCAAACTTATTAATCGTTTAACTTAAACATTTTAAAACAGTTAAGTTATTAGTAAAATTTTAAATACATAAAATTTGAACAATAGAAAATTAGATTTTTTCTTCAAAATCTAAATATTTTAATATGTCCCAAAATAACCAAATTAAAAATATATGAACCCGACACAATATGTAAAAATATTTGAACGGATACTAAACCTCAATACCGAAATACCCGAAATACATGATTCGAACCCATACGGGTACTCGAACGCCACCTCTATGAGCTAGGTACTTAAAACTATTAAATAAAAGTTTAGGTACAATTTGTCGTTTTAAAAAACTTTGGGGTGGTTTTTGAATTTGTGTAATCTAAATATGAGGTGGAGAACAAGCGGGGTGTAGATAACTGCCGACGAGGACCGTTATTAGAGGAAGAAAAATGGCGGGAGTGACTTCTCAGATATTTATCAGCTCATCTTCGTCCCTGAGGCTGAAGGTGAGTGGTTTCTGTTGATTTGTTTTATCATATAATCTAAGCGATTTACGATTCATTTGGGGTTTGCTTGCAAGAGGATTGGTCATCGGACGACGACGAGGTGCTTCTCTGGATCGCCGGAGAAGAGAACTCCGGCTATTCTGAAGTGGGCGGTTGGTGGAGTTACTGAAGTGATACGGTTGTTCTCTTCGTCTACTTCTTCCAATATTCGTACAAATGAGGATAAGTAAGGTTTTTTTAACTCTCCTCTGTTCGTGTTTGGTCTTTTTTGAAAAATTAAATTAATTGGGACATGTTACAGATTAAAATTTGAGGTTACTGCTCGAGATGTTGATGATGTGATGGAGATTTTGAGATTAGATTATGGAAATGCTTATTTCGTCACAGGTATATTATTATGTTCCAGATTACAAACTAAGCTCAGACACTAACTGGTTAAAGTCATGTCTGAAATAATGGTAACAGGAATCTTCACTACTGAAATTTACTCGGATGATTGCATCTTCGAGGACCCGACAATCAGTTTCCAGGGTGAGGCTTTAGAGAATTTTCTTCTCAGTTTCGTGTTCTGTCTCTGCAGTTTTAGTTAGTGATTAATGGTAGTAACTGTATCTACTTGAACAAAAGTAGAAGGAGAAACTGATCTTCATGCACTCTTGTTCAGCTTCTTCTTATCTATCACATCCTAAATCTTGGGTTTTGCAGGTACAGAGTTGTACGAACGCAACTTGAGATTACTTGTTCCGTTTCTCGAAGATGCATCCATTGAACTTCAAAATATGGACAAGGTATAGCCTTTTGTTAGATCCTAGTCCCAATGTGCTCTCAATGTTCTTGAAACTCGGCTTATAACATTACAGAGTGAGTTGTCCCAAGGAAACTATATACAGGCGACGTGGAAGCTACGGTATTCTGATTAAATTTATGATACTGTTGGAGAAAGTGTTGCAAATAGATATCAGTAGTGTTTATATCTCTTAAATTATGTTCCAGAACTTACCTAAAATTTCCATGGAGACCATTGATATCAATCAACGGTAGTACGGTCTATGAACTTGATAGAGACTTCAAAGTAAGAAAACACCGAAACTTTATCATCATACCATTTTTCCTGAGTTTCTGTATTTTGTCTAAGACATTTGGTTTTATGTGTGCAAAGATTGTGAGGCATGTCGAGAGCTGGGATGTCTCTGCGGTTGAAGCAATCAGGCAGATATTCACCGTCAACTCTTTTACCTCTCGTAGCTGAGTCTCTAAAGCACTAGAGATTCATGTATTTTGTCCATAACAAACTAAAAGTGACTCCATCAAATTTGATATTATAATACAAAGATGATTTTAGTTTGTTTTATGGGACACTTTTTCGTTCAAATCAGCACCTAGCGGCCTATAATTTCTACAGTAAAACCGTCTTTGGTTTGGGCTAAAATGTCTTCTAGATTTTACTAAGCTAAACCCAAAAATTGAAGCCAAACCAGGGAAAATTTGGTTCGTAAACCGAAGCAAACTAAATCAATAATTTCAGTGTTGTTTAGGTTACCATTTCAATTCTACCATAAATCCAGTACCATTTTTCAAATTTACCAATAATGAATGATTATAAAAAATAGAAATTTTGTTTTAATGCATAGCTGCATCATACACCGCCATAGTATGAATATTAAATAGATTTGAGATCTTAAATGTTTTCGTTTCTCCAGAAAATATGATTTTTATTGGGGTTAATCACATATTAAGTGGTATTTGAATGTTAGATAACTTAATCATTGGAAAATTTAAAATGATTCACATGTACCATAAAGATAAGTTTAGCAAACATATATAAAAATTTGGAGTGGGTTTAGGTATTTTTTAAACAACATGAACGATGGTAAATAGTATATATAGTATTTAACTAGAAAATTCAGCTTTTTCATAGGGGTTAGCCCACATATTTCAAGAAAATTATAAAAAATAGAATTTTTGTTTCAATGCATAGCTGCATCATACACCGCCATAGTATGAATATTAAATAGATTTGAGACCTTAAATGCTTACGTTTCTCCAAAAAATAGGATTTTTATTGGGGTTAATCCACATATTAAGTGGTATTTGAATGTTAAATAACTTAATCATTGGAAAATTTAAAATGATTCACATGTACCATAAAGATAAGTTTAGCAAACATATATGAAAATTTTGAATGGGATAAGGTATTTTTTACACAACAGGAAACGATGGTAAATAGTATATATATTATTTAACGGAAAATTCAGCTTTTTCATAGGAAATAGCCTACATATTTCAAATTTTTTTATAAACAATAGAATTTTTGTTTTAATGCATAGCTGCATCATACACCGCCATAGTATGAATATTAAATAGGTTTGATACCTTAAATGTTTTCGTTTCTCCAGAAAATAGGATTTTTATTGGGGTTAATCCACATATTAAGTGGTATTTGAATTTTAAAAAACTTAATCATTGGAAAATTTAAAATGATTCACATGTACCATAAAGATATGTTTAGCAAACATATATAAAAATTTGGAGTGGGTTTAGGTATTTTTTAAACAACACGAACGATGGTAAAAAGTATATATAGTATTTAACTAGAAAATTCAGCTTTTTCATAGGGGTTAACCCACATATTTCAAGAAAATTATAAAAAATTGAATTTTTGTTTTAATGCATAGCTGCATCATACACCTCCATAGATGACTATTAAATAGGTTTGAGACCTTAAATGTTTTCGTTTCTCCATAAAATAGTATTTTTATTGGGGTTAATCCACATATTAAGTGGTATTTGAATGTTAAATAACTTAATCCTTGGAAAATTTAAAATGATTCACATGTACCATAAAGATAAGTTTAGCAAACATATATAAAAATTTGGAGTGGGTTTAGGTATTTTTTAAACAACACGAACGATGGTAAATAGTATATATAGTATTTAACTAGAAAATTCAGCTTTTTCATAGGGGTTATCCCACATATTTAAAGAAAATTACAAAAAAAATTGAATTTTTGTTTTAATGCATAGCTGCATCATACACCGCCATAGTATGAATATTAAATAGGTTTGAGTCCTTAAATGTTTTCGTTTCTCCAAAAAATAAGATTTTTATTGGGGTTAATCTACATATTATGTGGTATTTGAATGTTAAATAAATTAATCATTGGAAAAATGATTAACATGTACCATAAAGATAAGTTTAGNTTATGTGGTATTTGAATGTTAAATAAATTAATCATTGGAAAAATGATTAACATGTACCATAAAGATAAGTTTAGCAAACATATACAAATATTTGGACTGGGTTTAGGTATTTTTTAAACAACACGAAAGATGGTAAATAGTATATATAGTATTTAACTAGAAAATTCAGCTTTTTCATAGGGGTTAGCCCACATATTTACAGAAAATTATAAAAATGGAATTTTTGTTTCAATGCATAGCTGCATCATACACCGCCATAGTATGAATATTAAATACGTTTGAGACCTTAAATGTTTTCGATTCTCCAAAAAATAGGATTTTTAATGGGGTTAATCCACATATTAAGTGGTATTTTAATGTTAAATAACTTAATCATTGGAAAATTTAAAATGATTCACATGTACCATAAAGATAAGTTTAGCAAACATATATAAAAATTTGTAGTGGGGTTAGATATTTTTTAAACAACACGAACGATGGTAAATAGTATATATAGTATTTAACTAGAAAATTCAGCTTTTTCATAGGGGTTAAACCCACATATTTCAAGAAAATTATAAGAAATGAAATTTTTGTTTCAATGCATAGCTGCATCATACACCGCCATAGTATGAATATTAAATAGGTTTGAGACCTTAAATGTTTCGTTTCTCTATAAAATAGGATTTTTATCGGGGTTAATCCACATATTAAGTGGTATTTGAATGTTAAATAACTTAATCATTGGAACATTTAAAATGATTCACATGTACCATAAAGATAAGTTTAGCAAACATATATAAAAATTTGGAGTGGGTTTAGGTATTTTTTAAACAACACGAACGATGGTAAATAGTATATATAGTATTTAACTAGAAAATTCAGCTTTTTCATAGGGGTTATCCCACATATTTAAAGAAAATTACAAAAAAATGAATTTTTGTTTTAATGCATAGCTGCATCATACACCGCCATAGTATGAATATTAAATAGGTTTGAGTCCTTAAATGTTTTCGTTTCTCCAAAAAATAAGATTTTTATTGGGGTTAATCTACATATTATGTGGTATTTGAATGTTAAATAAATTAATCATTGGAAAAATGATTAACATGTACCATAAAGATAAGTTTAGNTTATGTGGTATTTGAATGTTAAATAAATTAATCATTGGAAAAATGATTAACATGTACCATAAAGATAAGTTTAGCAAACATATACAAATATTTGGACTGGGTTTAGGTATTTTTTAAACAACACGAAAGATGGTAAATAGTATATATAGTATTTAACTAGAAAATTCAGCTTTTTCATAGGGGTTAGCCCACATATTTAAAGAAAATTATAAAAATGGAATTTTTGTTTCAATGCATAGCTGCATCATACACCGCCATAGTATGAATATTAAATACGTTTGAGACCTTAAATGTTTTCGTTTCTCCAAAAAATAGGACTTTTATTGAGGTTAATCCACATATTAAGTGGTATTTGAATGTTAAATAAATTAATCATTGACAATTTGAAATGATTCACATGTACCATAAAGATAAGTTTAGCAAGCATATATAAATATTTGGATTCGGTTTAGGTATTTTTTAAACAACACGAAAGATGGTAAATAGTATATATAGTATTTAACTAGAAAATTCATCTTTTTCATAGGGGTTAGCCCACATATTTCAAGAAAATTTAAAAAAATTGAATTTTCGTTTTAATGCATAGCTGCATCACACACTGCCATAGTATGAATATTAAATAGGTTTGAGTCCTTAAATGTTTTCGTTTCTCCAGAAAATAGGATTTTTATTGGGGTTAATCTACATATTATGTGGTATTTGAATGTTAAATAAATTAATCATTGGAAAATTTCAAATGATTCACATGTATCATAAAGATAAGTTTACCAAACATATACAAAATTTTTGAATGGGATTAGGTATTTTTTACACAACAGGAAACGATGGTAAATAGTATATATATTATTTAACGGAAAATTCAGCTTTTTTCATAAGGAATAGCCCACATATTTCAAATTTTTTTATAAAAAATAGAATTTTTTTTTAATGCATAGCTGCATCATACACTGCCATAGTATGAATATTAAATAGGTTTGATACCTTAAATGTTTTCGTTTCTCCAGAAAATAGGATTTTTATTGGGGTTAATCCACATATTAAGTGGTATTTGAATGTTAAATAACTTAATCATTGGAAAATTTAAAATGATTGACATGTACCATAAAGATAAGTTTAGCAATCATATATAAAAATTTGGAGTGGGCTGAGGTATTTTTTAAACAACACGAACGATGGTAAATAGTATATATAGTATTTAACAAGAAAATTCAGCTTTTTCATAGGTGTTAGCCCACATATTTCAAGAAAATTATAAAAACTGGAATTTTTGTTTCAATGCATAGCTGCATCATACACCGCCATAGTATGAATATTAAATAGGTTTGAGTCCTTAAATGTTTTCGTTTCTCCAGAAAATAGGATTTTTATTGGGGTTAATCTACATATTATGTGGTATTTGAATGTTAAATAAATTAATCATTGGAAAAATGATTCACATGTACCATAAAGATAAGTTTAGCAAACATATATAAAAATTTTGAATGGGTTTAGGTATTTTTTACACAACAGGAAACGATGGTAAATAGTATATAAATATATTATTTAACGGAAAATTCAGTTTTTTCATAGGGAATAGCCCACATATTTCAATTTTTTTTTATAAAAAATAGAAATTTTCTTTTAATGCATAGCTGCATCATACACCGCCATAGTATGAATATTAAATAGGTTTGATACCTTAAATGTTTTCGTTTCTCCAGAAAATAGGATTTTTATTGGGGTTAATCCACATATTAATTGGTATTTGAATGTTAAATAACTTAATCATTGGAAAATTTAAAATGATTCACATGTACCATAAAGATAAGTTTAGAAAACATATATAAAAATTTTGAGTGTGTTTAGGTATTTTTTAAACAACACGAACGATGGTAAATAGTATATATAGTNCATAGGGGTTAGCCCACATATTTAAAGAAAATTAGAAAAAATTGAATTTTTGTTTTAATGCAAAGCTGCATCATACACTGCCATAGTATGAATATTAAATAGTTTTGAGTCCTTAAATGTTTTCGTTTC